TATTTTAAAGTGATAGTTTATGAATTGTGAATCTTGGTTTAATAAATTCAATTTAGTAGATTTTTATCCACCACTATTTCTAAATAGTTCTTAGGCTTATATAATTCACCACTTTATAATACCTATGTCAGGCTATGCCTTTTAAAAAGCATACAAAAATAGTCAAATGTTTGCAAAAATTACTTTGCAGTTATATACCGTTTTTTTTAATTATTTTGTCGTGTCCGGAGCAGTCGGTATCTCTGAGTACAACATTTACCGAAAGGCAATTTTACTCAAAATTATATTTTTCTTAGGTTGAAATTATAAAAAAATTTACTAAAATTACTAAAATTTATTATGCTTTTATACATATGTTGTAATTATTTATATGTGGTGGTGATCAAACTCATTTATAATTACTGTTATAATTCAAAAAGTTTATTGCAATAACATGAGTTTCGCTACCACTTTAAATATGAAAATAAAATCTTTTGGCAAAACCGGAAGGCTTGGTGGCTATGAAAACAATAAATAATTTAAAATTCGTTCTCCTTTTTCACTTCAGATTTTTTTAAAAGCATAAGTAACAATATTTAGTTTGTTACTGTTGCGTACACTCCAACATTTGAAGTTTCTGCGAAATATTTATTCTAGTGCTAGTAAACTAACGCAGGGATGCCAAATTTCTATCCTTTTGAGGAAAATTTCTTCAAGTGATATCTAATTTTATGTTTTTAATGTATGATTCTTTGTTTTGTAAATTTAATCTATTTTCCACACCAATGTTTGTAAATTACTCAATCCTTAACTTTTAAGGATTTGGAGAAAAGACATCGGAAATAACCACTCTGAATTTTAATACATCTATAATTTAACTATCACTTTATTGTTCGATCGCAGGACTAACAAATTATTCCTTGTAAATTTTGCCTAATATTATTGTTTTTTTCTACGTCTGAAGTTTATGAATTCAATTTTAAATGATTTAACACATTACTATTTAAAAAAAACTTAACAAGGCTATCAACTTTCTACGTTTTTTGGAAAAGTTTCTTCTAGTTGTAGCTAATGTTTTAATGTATGATTCTTTGCTTTGTAAATTTAATTTAAAATTATTTTCCACAGCACTGCAACTAAATGATCCGAAAGTATTAAACGTCACTTAGTTCTACCTCTCTCTTAATGTTTTGGCGAAATTATCAAAAATTAAGAAAGCTTTATTATTTATTGTCTACCACTCCAGAGATGCCAACTACTCCGGACAAGCCGATATAATTAAAGGAACGGTAAATACTGCAAAGTAAATTTTGCAAACTTTTTGCTATTTTTGTTTGCTTTTTAAGAGTCATACACGCCATCACTTCCGGATTTTCTGGAAGATTTTGTTTTCATATTTAAAGTGGTAGTATATATATTCCACTTTTTCTTTTATAAACTTAATTTTTAAATGATTTTGATCAACACTATTCTTACAAAAATTAAGCACATATATTAATATGCGTTACTATCATGGTTGTCAACTTAAGTTCTCTCAAATACAACGTATTTGCTTGCTTAAAATTGAAGTTTTAATTTAATTTTAATACCACTGGGAAAAATGATAATGGAAGGGATTAAAAGTTGGCAGGTATGAAGAGGTATAGCATGACATAATTTCTTCAAAGTGGTGATTTAAATAAGACTACAAATTATTTAGAAGTAGTGGTGGATAAAAATCTTCTAAATAGAATTTTTTAAACCAAGAATCACAATTAATAACCTACCACTTTAAAATATATATTTGCTGTCCGGAGCAAGTTGGCATCTCTGCCACTCTATAAAATGTTTTCCAGAAATGTAGTAATTCAGCTTTGGAAACTTAGAATTGCTCTTTCATCACTGGCATTTTAAAAACAGAGTGTTGATTACGACTGTCAAGTGGATATTAATTAAGAGAAAAGTTGACGTTTTGCACTCCACCATCACCTCCTACATCAAATAGCCTCCACACGGTCTTTTATAAGTAGTCCGCGCAGACTATTTAAAAAGTAATTGAGAGAAGTTTATCATATATATTTGAGAATTGAATCTGTAGTGGTTGACAAGTGAATAAGACAAACAAATAATATTCATAAATAAAACAAATTTTGAGTCATATATTTGCTACCACTTTCTTATTTTAACTAGATTTTGTATTAAATGACTCATTCGGAAAGTGAATATCATTCAAAGAGGTCTGATCGGACTATCTATAAAAAACCATGTGGAAGCTTTCAGTTATAGGAGGCGTTGACTCCACTGTCATCTTTATGGCAGGGATGCCAACTGCTCCGCTTTCTGGAATAGTTTTAATAAAGTGGTAGCCTATTATATTGTAAAATTCGCCAGAGAAGGATAGTTACGCCCACTTTTTAATAGAGCATCCAGTAGAATGATGCTGCAGCGTTGCATTTCATATGATGCTTATAATTTTTGATATTTAGTGGTGAAAAAATTACTTAAAACGAAAAATACTAAACTAAGAGTAACTTAAATTTCGCTACCTCTAGAAAATACTCTTTTACAAAGCGGAGCAAGTTGGCATGGTTGGCTATGGTGAGATAAAAAGTCGCCACTTGAAAATTTAAAATTTTTGAATAGTAATCTTTCGTTACCACATTATTTTATGATTGTTAGTTGATGTATATGTTGCACAATATTTTAAACAAATTATTGTTTACATCAATCTAAACAGCATTTTAAAGTACTCAGAGTGCAAAAGGTTCAAGTTGGAAGGAATGAATATTAACTGCAAAGATCGTTTTTGGCATTCAAATGACTTAAGTGCTTGTAAATAAGTATATAAAAAGCTCTTTAGAGAAATGTTTCCCAAACTTATGACTTTTATGTACCCTTTCTACATTTTTCGTAACGTTGAGTACCACTAATAAAAAATTAATGCATTTTTTACAATAAAAAATTGCACGAAAATTAAAAATCACAACTGACTGTTGACACTACTAATTATTAACTGTTAACTCTGCAAAAAATAGCCAATAGAAAAATAGGTAAATTTCTAATCGTAAATTTTCATGGCTAGCTTTGTTTTTAAATAATTTTTTTCTTTTTTTTGAAATTTTCGTCTGTTACGAGATATTTCGCATAAGAACACGTACCTCCACTAAACTGTTTCCGTACCCCTGGGGGTACGCGTACCACGCTTTGGGAAACACTGCCTTAGAGCAAAGGATTAAATTATTTATTCATAGTGGTGTCCGATATCATTATAATAAACTGTAATGATACCAAATGATCCGTTTTTTTTTCAAAAGAGTTAATAAAGTCGAGGAGAATTAAAAATCTATAGCTTGCAAAGTTTGTTCATTTTTGCAAATGCTTTAAAAGTCTCACCCTGCGATATTTGGCTCAAAAAGATATTCTATACTTTTGAATTATTAATAAGTTGCAAAAAGCCAAATTAATTTATATAAAATTTATCAAACCGAGAATTATACGTTAAAACCAAAATTTAGCAATCACTAAAAAAATGTTATCGAGCTGAGCAAGCTTACGTCTCTGCATCCATCAAGGATAATGTCGAAGCAAGGAGCTCCGAGCCTAGGGCTCAACACTATTCCTAGAAAGGATAGTTCCTAGTATATACCTAGTAAAAATTAATTAAGTTGTTTTGCCTTAGGTTGAATCAATAATAGTTAATTAGTTGATGGAAAGAAGGAAATGATAAGGCGGTTAGCAAAAAGTATTTATACACGTTTCCCTCCTCAAGGCTCTCATGAATTCTTTCGAAAAGATAAATATTGCTAACTCAATTATTTCATTTTTAAAATTTATCTTAAAGAGGCAAGACATTTTTGTTCCCTATAATACATTCACATAATTATGTATATTTTAATCTGAAATTACCCGACTGCAGTTGTCGATAAAAATAGGATATTTTGTGCTATTGTTCTTTTTAATGAAAATTGTTAATTGCTAAAATAATTCGAAAATTTGAAAAAATTGATACCTGGTTTTTGTTGCATTCTCCACTCCACAACGATAATCACAGCTCTAAAATAAATAAATAAAAAATGTTATAAGTTTATACTGATATAGTTCAAATAACATTACATAAGCTAATCTTACTTTAACAGGTTGCTACAATAGACGGGTATAGCCGTTTGATTTTTGCAGAGTGTCTACTGTCTCAAACAAAAATCTCTTTCAATCGATCTGTGAATGATCACTTCTTTTTTTTAAAAACTAATTCCTATTCCTCAAGATCGGATTGATTGGAGAAATTGTATCTCAAAAATGCTTTAAAATCTTCGAATTCGGGATAAAAATCACGAAAACTTTCGTGATCGATAGACATCCTGGTCTTGTATATTTTAATCATTAAAAAAAAAAGAACATCATTAGAACCCCGAAAAAAATAACATTCCTGGTTACATATCAATTGTTTTAGTGTTTGTTTTAATTTTTTAACGATGATTAATAGCTACTTAATAGGCAAAAATTCACCAATTATCTGTTCAAAATAAAAGTTGTATGTTATTAACCACTTTTAAGTCTTGTGGCTTCAAAATCTTTTGAAACTTCACATTAAATGCAGGAATTAATGCTCCTCTCATAAATTACTATTTAGAAAGGAGTTTAACGTTTAATATTTTGAAGAGAGGTTCCAGGGGGAGCAGTTGGGTTCTTCCAAATCTTTTTAGAGATAGGACATTTGTAAAAACAATTTCATCATTAAAAAAACTAAAAAATTGTGTTTCTTCGATTCAGAATTTTAGTTGAAACCAAAGAATAAACAAGAAATGCTATTATAAAATAAAAAATAAGCGAAACCAGTGTACTGTAGATAGTTCATATCTACCATGTCCTTTAGTGCGATCCCAAGACAAGTTTGACCTTATTTTCAGTATTTACCGACCACTGCATCAGAGATGCCAACTTGCTCCGGACAGCAAATATATATTTTAAAGTGGTAGTTTATCAATTACGATTCTCTGTTTAATAAATTGTATTTAGTAGGTTTTTATCCACCACTTTTTCGAAATAATTCGTATTCTTATATAATTCACCACTTTCTTATACTTATGTCTGGCTACACCTTTTAAAAAGCAAGCAAAAATAGTAAAATATTTGCGAAAATTACTTTGTAGTTATATACCGTTTTTTTAATTATTTTGGCGCGTCCGGAGCAGTTGGCATCTCTGCTGCATATTAGTTTCTCTTTGTAGTCTTTGCCATGGTTCTTTTTGTCAATTCGAGTGCACATTGCATATACCATGGGTGAAAGCCCTTATATAGCAAGACGGAAAAGAGAAAAACCTGGTACGTAAAACATTTCATTCCAGCATTTTTTTTCGAAAAAAATGAAATATCTGTAACTATCAAGATTTCTTTTATAATTCTGGCATATATATAAAACTGCTTCTATTCCAAAATAAAGTAGATATTGTTGAAAAATTTAAAAAAAGAATAAGTAAACTCCTCCCCAAAACTAGCTATAACTGAAATGGTTTTACTACCAGCCTTTCCTCTTTTCCGTCTCGCTTTCACCCCTGGCATATACTAAGCAAGAAACCAAATTTTGTCATTTTTGGTTGTCTTCTTTATTAGGTTCCAAACTATTATTATTGTAACATGCAATAGGTATTTTAAATAATGCACTGCAATAAAAATTTATTACAGGCATTAGAAACCAAAGAGTAAAATCGAAAGAATAGAAAACTGTAGATCTTGCTTAAGACGGCAACAACTGATCATAATCGATATAAACTCTTATTGTTTAGTATGTTGCCGTTTTGTTACAAAATGCCATAGAAGCGAATAGGGAATTGGCATGTGTCAAAAATGAACATTGTCTTCCAAACTTTAGTCATAAAGGAAAAGCATATTGGTGGATGAAGCTTCTAAGTGATGCCACTTAAGTAGCTTCATCCACTTAAAAGCACTCATTTTTTTTTCATTAAAAAAATTGAGATTTCTCATGGAAAGTTCTTATTTTAGCCATATTTAACTAAGCATCATCCATTTATTTGCCAAGTCATTAAATTTCTGAGATATCAGAGTATGAAGTTACTAAGTGATAATTTTTGTGTGTTTTCGAACTTATGAACGTTCAAACTGCGTTTGGCTACAAACAGTTCACAAGTAACCTTAACAAACCTGCCCTTCAGCTGAAAATTAAAACGCCCAGAGTTAGAGATTTATAGATTTTTCCTATTGTATGGAAGTTTTCGGATAAGAAATAACTTCCATTTTATAATTTATTGATTAACGGAAGTAATTATATCTTACTTTGCCTGAATATTACTTATACAGTACAATCAACTAAGGCAGTATTTTTTTCTGAAATAAAAAGTGATGCTTATACTTTAAAGCAAGATAGTTACTATTACAGTCGAACTCGTTTATAACGAGCACAAAGGGACCGTAACATGTACTCGTTAAAGTCGAGTGCTCGTAATAAACGGGTCCTTAAGGCAGGCTTGCAACCAGAAGAGGGGTGGGGGGTTGGGAGGTCAAATTATTGAGTTTACATAAAATTTAATTAATACTTACTTACTTTAATTAATTTAATTAAATACTTTTCTTAATTTAATGATAACTCCCCCCCCCAACCAGCAAAAAATTTCTAGTTGCGCTACAGTCTTAAAGGAAAGAAGCAATAAACGGAAAGAAAAATAAAGGAAAAGATTCTTACCAAAACATTTATTTTTTTCATTAATCTACATATTTAAAATAGTAGTTTGTTAGCTTACTTTGAAGTTTCAGTTCGCGGTTTTTTTTTTATTTCGCGCGCATTTCTTATCATTTTGAAAAAAAGATAAGACAGAAAGACTAGAAAGATGAGAAAAAAGATTGCAAGACAGAAAAATATTGCTCGCTAAAACCGAGTCTTGCTCGTTAAAAGCGACTTCTGTTCCATAGACTTAACATTGATCCAACCAAATATTCTCGTTTCCCTCGGTAAATCCGAGTTCTCGTTAAATCCGAGCTCGTTATAAACGAGTTCGACTGTACCAACTTATACTTTTTTCTCTTATAAATACTGTTTCATTATTTTGACACAGAAAATGTCTAGACGAAATCAAAAAGAAAAATTCTCTTGAAAGCAAAACTGAGTAAAAATATGGAAAGCAATATTGAGTCTTGTTAATCATTTTATGTGTTTTTCACATTTCTAATAAAATGTTTGACAGTTTGACATAATTTTTTGTGACATTTTGTTTTTTTTCTTCTGTCGAAATGTTTATGCTCAAAGAAATAAATATACTGCAATATTTTATATATCTTTTCATACTGTCCTACTTCTCGGCCAGCGTAGAGAGATTATTTCATCCGCAAAATAAGCTATAAAAGAATTTTAAGATACTCGTTTGGAGAAAGGCATATGAATTACCATTATTTATATTCTAGCTCCGGTTATATTACTGAAACTCAATAACTTAATATTTTTCAATCTTTAGTTATTGATAGTTTTTTTATGATTTGATTGTCTAGTACAACGGTTCCCAATTTTTCTTTTCCAGCTACGGAACCTTAAACGATCGAACTTCTTTCGCCGGAACCCTAACTTTTAAACAAAGATCATTAGAAAGTGTGAATATGCTAATTGAAAAAGAACTTGATTACGAAACATTTCATGGGAAGAATGAAATTTTTTCTTTGTTTCTTCAATAACAGCTTTAAAGTTAGGTTTTATGATAGGCAGTTGAATTCGCAAGTCTGAAGCGGCATTTGGTATGGTTGGCGTGAGCATAAATCAAATTTAACACGCTCACGCCGGGAAAAGAGGAAATACTGGTAGAAGAACTATTTCAATATTAGATAATATTCGGGAGGAGTTAATCTATTCTCAACAATAACAATTCACTGTAAGGAAATTTATCACAGCGAAGAAGCAATTCAACATAAAAATTGCATCCGTTAAAAACAATTGGTAGTTATGGATTTTTATTATTCCCGGAAAAAAACTAAACAATGAAATTTATTGTTACCAGTTTTTACTCCGGTGCGCTGCCAAGATGAGAAAAATCTAGCGTGACCCAAAGGTGGGTCACCCCGGCGCGAACGTGTTAAAATAAATTGAATTATAATTTTTGAGAAAGAAGTGTTACAAACTTTATCGAAGAAAAAAAATAATTCTTTAATCTTGAATTTGTTTATTTATCTTAAATTTTTTTTATAAGTTTGAATGTTAAAAATATTGTTGCGATCATTTTTAAAGCATGTGTTTTAGTAATTTCTTCTGTATATTGTTATTATAAAATAAAAACTTGTATACAAACTTATTAGTTTCAAAAATCATTGTTGGTTAAAGAAAAGGGTTCTGCGGAACACCTTTTGGAAACTGCTGGTATAGTAATATCGTTACAACGTTAGAATTAGTCTCTGACAGTCAGATTGTCTAGTTAATAGTATCCTACTTTATAACCAGCGAAGGAAAGCTATTACTTTCGCAAAATAAATTATAAAAGACATTTTAGGTATTAATTTGAAGAAAAGTACATCAATTGCCATTATTCATGACAAACAACTGAACATATCGTAGGCAATCTGAATTAAATAACACTGTAATTTTTCATTTTAAGTTGGCTACTGGACCGCATTGGCCAAGATAGGCAAAATGCATTTTTAGACATTTAATCACTAGTTTATCTCAGGTTTAACTATCTTTTTTAAAGCATTTCTCTCTAGTGATAACGTATCTAAGTTTATCTTTTTATATTCAGTGCGCATAAAAATAAACGGACCACGCTAAATAACTTTTTATCTAATGATCGAATTTTTACGTTCTAGGTCTCAATCTTAATGCAGGGTTGCCACAGACTACTAAAATGCGACTATTTGCTACTATTTTCGGCCTTAGGCGACTATGGTGACTTTTTTTACCTGAAAAGGCTAAAAAAGCAACTATTTTCAGGAATAGGCGACTATTGGGAGACTTTTTTACTCTTAGCGAAGTTTTTTCGCAAAAATGAACGTTACTTTTCAGTCCCCTCACTAAAACACGTACTTATTGCCGCCTACCATGTGTGTAGTGCAGTTAAAACAAA